TTATGCGAATTTTGTCATAATAAAATCAAAGTAATACATGCACATGGTGCGCACAGACTATTCAAGAAGGGGATCGTTCCCCTCCTGGTCCTCCCACCTCCTCCCTCACCACTGTCCCCGTCTCGTTCCTCCGTTACCGCTGGCAGATGTCTGTGGATCCTCCCAGACATTTCCTATGGCCATGCTTCTCCCTTATCATATTTTCTTTCTACACAGGTGGAATCGTGCTGTTTATTCTTCTGTATAGTTGTTTTTCCACTCGCTAACATCACAGCTGTCTTTCCAGTTCCCCACAGGCACACCCACCTCATTCTGCCCAGGTGGGGCTGCATGGAGGGGACACGGTGACTTAACCTGTTTCCTGATGATGCACATATGGGTAGCTTCCATATTTTTGCTTTATAAACTATACACTGAGTGGCCAGATTATTATGATCTCTGAATGCATAATAATCTGGCCACTCAGTGTATATCCTATGGAATAAAAGGCTAATATGCAAATTATCCCCTCAACCAGGAGTTTGACCAACAGGCAGGACAGCCAACCACCTATGTCCCCTCCCCCTGGCCAGGCTGGCCGGACCACACCCATGCACGAATTTATGCACTGGGCCTCTAATATATATATAAAAGTACATTTTTCATAGCAATCTGAGTGGCCAGATTACTATGCATTCAGAGATCATAATAATCTGGCCACTCAGTGTATGTTATGCCACACTAATGGCCTTTTACTAGAACACAGCTGTGTGAATGTGTTTACTGGGTAAATTCACAGGAAAAGGATTTTGGGTCAAAGGGCATGTGTATCCAAAGTGCTGACAGGTACTGTAAAATTGCCCTGCAGAAAAGGTGCACCAATTTACATTCCTCCCAAGGGGCCCATTGGCCCTTCCTCCCTCCTTCCTCCTTTCCTTCCTCCTTCCTCCTTCCTCCTTCCTCCTTCCTCTTTTCCTTATACTTAACAGACAAGCAAAAACTTTTACTTTTTCCGTAGTAACGTAACAGGAATAAAAATAAAATGTACATTACAACTTCTCATATAGTTTGGGGGTCGGCTGGTTCTCAGGCATCCAGTACCGTAGGCATGCTCTTCATCTCACTCTGTCACATTGCCTTCTTCGTCCGGCACTTTGCGTGTTTCTATGACTCACCTGATCTTGAAATGCCTTTTGCATGCCTTTTGTCTTGTCAAAATGAAGTTAAAGTACGTTTTTCATTCTCAAGAATGACTCTTGTGCTCAAGGTTTAATTTTATTTTTGGTTGTGATCACACTTTATATGATAATTTCCTTGTAGTATTTAATTTAATTTTGGACATGTAATACATTTACACGGCTCACAATTAAAAAATATGTACTGTGTGAGGCTCTTTCCCTTATTTCCCATCACTAGTTCCTACCACCTTCCTTCTCCTCTGAAACGCTGTTTTTAGTGTCTTATAGATTCTTCCAGAGGTTTTTTTTTATTTTATGGAAATACAAGCAAATACAGATATAGATTCTCGTTCTCCTCTTTTTCATACAGGATGTCGCGCACTATCTGCCCACCACCTTGATGAGCGCTCTTCATTAGTAGGTGGAGAATGTCCTCATTCTTTTTCATGGTTGTGTATGTGCAAGATGTTCCCTTGTGGAGGGACCTTATTTATTTCACCAGTCCTTCATTGATGAGTATTGATGAGTTTTATCCACTTTACTATTACAAACAGTGTTGCAAGGAACATACTAGTGCACAGGGTCATTTTGGGTATGTACAAGTCAATCTGAAGTGAACAAGTGGAACTGTTGGGTCAAAGGATTTGTCTTAATTCTGACAGACGCTGCCAAAATGCCTTCCTAAAGGGGTTGTGCCAATTTACACTATTAGAATGATTGTGTGAAAATTCCTCTGCCTACAGCCTTTCTAACTGTGTATTATCCACCCGTTGGATTTTTGCCAACCTGATAGGTGAAAATTATCTGTAGTTTTAATTTGTATTTCTCGTATGAGTTTGATGGCATTCTTATACATTTAAGAGCCATTTGCCGAAACCGGTTTGGCTCAGTGGATAGAGCATTGGTCTGCGGACTGAAAGGTCCCAGGTTCGATTCCTGTCAAGGACATGTACATGGGTTGCGGGCACATCCCCGGTAGGGGGTGTGCAGGAGGCAACTGATCGATGTCTCTCTCTCATAGATGTTTCTATTTCTCGATTCCTCTCCCTTCCTCTCTGTAAAAAAATCAATTAAATATATATATATTTTAAAAAGAGCCATTGTATTCTTTTCTTTGAATGATTTCTTCCTTTTTCTCTTACCGCGTTATTCACATTCTTCTAGAGACTGTTGGGGAGATTTGACCTTTGCCTGTGACGCGTTGCAAGCCTCCTTCCCTGCAGTCTGTCAAGTCTTTGGTTTTACGTGTGGTGCACTTTATCATTGGCTTTTAATTGTCATTGCTTTTACTTTTATTTTTTTAACTGAAAGAATTTATCGTTTTAATTTCATATTTCATAATTGTGAATCTTAAGGGGGGGGGGGGAAGACACCTAAGATGGGCTCCTAGTGGCTGACCAGGCTAAAATGAAAACAGCAGCACTAAAGAAACAGAGCCAGCCTAGCAGCCACTTCTGCACAGGAGCCTCTCACACACACTATTCTCTCCTTGATACACAGAGGCGGTGAGTCTTCCTTGTTAGGCTGTTAGAAAGCACCCAGAGTCCCAGCACCATGCTCTCCTGGGAAGGAGAACAAGTAACGTGAATGGATAGAAAGAGGCTCCCCCTGGCTGGGTAGCTCAGTTGGTAAGAGCATCATCCCCATACATCAAGGTTGTGGGTTTGATCCCCAGTCAGAGTACATTCAAGAAGCGACCAATGAATACATAAATAAGTGGAAACGATAAATTGATGTTTCTCTCTCTCTCTCTCTCTCTCTCTCTCTCTCTCTCTCTCTCTCTCTCTCTCCTTCTCTTCCTCCCTTCTTCTGTCTCAAGAAAAAAAAAGAAAAGAAAAGAAAAGAGGCTCCCTCTATCCTCATCTGTCTGGTTGAGACATTCCTGGGCCAGTGGGTACCATCATGGGATGGGTGGGAGGTCTGAACATCGGGGGCCCAGACATCATTGGCATGGGTGTGGCCTCATTCCAGAAGCGGGTCCCCTGGCATCATCCAGGAGGAGGAGGGCCCATCATTGTCATCACGGGCCCCTACATATGGGTGCTGGCATCATACCAGGGCAGGAGGACCTGGGAGACGGGGAAGTGGGGTTATTGCCCTGGCAGGTGGAGGAGCGGAGAATGCAGTAGGAGGTGTCTTTCCTTATTGAAATACTGCTTTTTTATCCTATTCTGTGTGTGTGTGTGTGTATGTGTGTGTGTGTGTGTGTGTGTGTGTGTGTGTGTTGTGTGTATGGGGGGAGGGGGAAGTTTGAGAGTACATTTATTAAAATTGGGGACAGTGAAACATGGAAGGGCCTGGGAAAGAAGAAGCAACAGCAAGCTAGGCAGGGCTGCTTTCTCTAGAAAAGTTACGGGAAAGAATGAGCCAAGGTGGGGCTGCTATCAGCTCCCTGGACAGCCAGAGAAAAGGGGCCTTGGAGACAGGCGGGGGTAAGCCCAGGAGGAGCTGCCGGCCCATTGCCCCCTGGCTGCAGGTCAGTGGGTCTCCCGTGAGTTAGGAGATGCCTCCCGTGGGGAAGGAGACGGGGAGGGAAAGGTGCAGGCCTGCTCCTGGGAGGCGGAGAGCAGGCACACTTGGTCTTAGGGTTTTAAAGGCTGGGCGTCTCGGGGATGTTTTAGGGAAGGATCTCAATAGAACATTCCTGAGCTTTCCCAGGTGCCCTTTCAGGGTTGTGGTCTCCACTGGTTGGTCAGCACCAGGGCAGAGGGTCACTAGGCATTGCAGCTGGTCCTGGTGTTGCCCACCTGGTTTTGCTGCTTTTCTGGGCCTGGAGCTGAAATACAATTGAGGCCTAGATGTTATCTCTAGGGAGGAGAGGTCATGCGTTTAAACTGCATGACCAGCAACATACCAGGGAGGAAAGGCCACTGTGTGTGTGTGTGTGTGTGTGTGTGTGTGTGTGTGTGTGTGTCTGTGTCCGGGGCCAGTTTTACCTGTTGCTAGTTCAACAGAGCTTTCTGTTCAGTGACCTTCTGTATGTAGCTGTAAATTTCTGAGCCAGTTTGCTTAGCCGTCTTAGTCTCCCCACCCCACTTGCCAAGGGATGTTCCTAGCATCTTACTCTCCTGCTTCATTCCTCCCTCAGAGATTTCCATTCCTGAAATCTTTTTTTAAAAATACATTTGTTTTATTGATTTCAGAGAGGAAGGGAGAGGAGAGAGAGATAGAAACACCAATGATGAGAGGAAATGTTTGATCGGCTGCCTCCTGCACACCCCACACTGGGGATCAAGCCTGCAACCTGGCATGTGCCCTTGATCAGAATTAAACCTGGGACCCTTCAGTCCTCAGGCCGATGCTCTATTCACTGAGTCAAACCAGCTAAGGCCATCTCTGAAATCTTTTAGGGGTGATGAAGGAAGGGGGGTAAGGGCTCTGTCTTCAGTAACTGCTTTCTGCTGACAGGGGTCTTCTTCCTGATCTAAGGGAGACAGAGCCTAGGGTCCTGGGAGATAGAGGCTATTATCTCATCCTTCTAAAGGGGTGTGGGCCAGGATCCCCAGAGCATTCTCATCTTGACATGGAATTGTTGTATCCAGAAGCGAAGTTGGTAATTACTCCATATCTCACTGACCCAATTATTTCGTCCAGAGAATAAGTCGTTCAGTGACATTGTCGAGTCTCCTTTCAGGAGGTGGCGATGCAGGTGGGCTCTGCAAGTGAGACCTGGAAAGAGAGCGTGACCCCTGTGGATAAGCAAGGTCCCAGCCGCTCCCCAGGGGGCCCTCATCAGCTTCCGAGTCAGGCTCCATTCCTTAGAGCTTGCCGGTGACATCCAGAGTCTAGGCCTGTCTCTCTACACATGACATCCCTGTCTACGTCTGGGCTGATAAAACCACAATGAGAAACTGGCTTTCTGTGTCTGAGAAGGGTGGTCAGGTGCCCCGAGTCCCAGCACCATATGTTCCGGCGATGCTGCTGGAGAAACAGCGCCAGTTGCTAGTGGTGGGGTTCCCAATTAAGGACGTAGGAGAAGGGAGCCAGCGGCGCTCTGCAGGCTCAGGAAACAAGGTCCTATCTGGGCCATCAGAGAATGTTCCTGGAAAAGGGACCAGCCTGGGGTGGAGTAGGTCTGCCTTGGGCCAGCCAGTAGTGCATGGATTCTTGACTTCATGCAGGAAAGATTTCACAACACGAGTCCAGGTGATGTTGAGAGCACGTTAATTAAAGCTGGGACAGTGACACAAGGAAGGGCCTGGGACAGAAGAAGCGACAGGAGAGAGACTGAGCGGGCTGCTCTGGTTCTCTAGAAACATTAGAGGGAAGAAGTGAGCCAGAAGGGGCTGTGGTCAGCTCCCTGGAGAGTCAGAGGAAAGGGGGCCTTAGGGACAGGTTCAGGGGGTCAGCCCTTTGACAACCACTGCTCATTGCTCCGCTGGTTGCAAGTGGGGACCCTTAGAGTTTGGGAGATGCATGCCTGTGGGGCAGAAGAGGGGAAGGGAAAAATGTAGGCAGACATCCATTTCTGATAGCAGCCTTTCACATTTTTCTTGTGTTTCCCACAGCTGCAGTGTGTCTTTCTCACAGATGGAGAGCCATGGGCAGTAGCCTCAATAAAACTGGGCAGGCCTTTGGCCACTTCATTGCTTTCAAGTTTTAAAACATTTTGAAATAATTTCAGACTTCCCCTTGCATTAACACCTTTCATAACAAAACCAGAAAGCTGATATGGACTGAGTACTGTTAACAAACCTGTGGATTATATTCGCATTGCCCTGGTTTTCTCAGCCAATTATCTTTTTTTTCTGTCCCAGGATCAAATTGGGGATCCCATTTTGCATTTAGTTTGCCTTTTTTTTTTTTCATTGGTGACAGTTTCTTAGTCTTTTCTTGTCCTCATGACCTTGACAATGTTTAACAGTCATAGTCTGGTATTTTATGGAATGTCTCTCAATGGGAGCATGTCTGTGTTATCATTCTGGGGAGGATAACACAGAAATGATTTGCTTTCTCAGCCCATCACATGGGGCACCTGCTATTGACACTGGCCACTTGGCTAATTTGGTGTTCACCTGATGTCTGCAGGCAAAGTTACTATTCTCCCCTTTTAACTGACAGGTGTTTAGGGAGATGGTTTAAGGCTGGGCACATATCCTGCTTTTTCTCCAACTCTTACCTGTTCACAGCCAGGACCAGCTGCATAGTTTGTGGGGCTCAGAGCAAAACGAAAAAGCAGGGCTCCTTTTCCAGAAATTAAGAATGACCAGGTAGCGGTGCTCTCTGAGTAGGGGTTAAAGTCGTTCTTGAGAGGAACGTCTCTGTCCGAAGAGAAATTGAGTTCAGCTCTGAGAAGTGAACTTGTAAACAAAACAAAGAGGGGAAAACAGAAGAGAAACAAGGAATTAAAGATGCTTTTGAACTAATCTACACGGACAAAGATGAAGCAATAGTTTATCATGAATTAAAGATGGCAATGAGAGCCTTGGGGTCTGATGTAAAAAAAGCTGAGGTACTGAAGATTCTTAAAGATTAAGGCAGAGAAGCCACAGGGAAAGTCACCTTTGAAGATTTTAACAAAGTTGTGAGAGACTGGATATTGGAAAGATATCCACATGAGGAAATACTGAAGGCATTTAAACTATTTGGTGATGATGATTCAGGTAAAATAAGCCTGAGGAATTTGCGACAAGTTGCCAGAGAATGGGTTGAAAACATGAATCATGAAGAACTTCAGGCTATGATAGAAGAATTTGATAAAGATGGTGATGGAGAAATAAATGAAGAGGAGTTCATTGCTATTATGACTGGTGACATTTAAAGAATTACAAGGAAAAACACCAAGAATGTTGCAGTTATCGTCTTATACTCTATTTTTGTGCTTGGAGGCATGTAAAAAGACACACCCCCAACTTAGTTTCCCCCCCCCCCCCAAATGGACCAAAAATAATCTTATGTATTCATTAGAGGCCTGGTGCATGAAAATTCATGTACTGGAGTGGGGGTCCCTCAGCCCAGCCTGCCCCCTCTCATAGTCTGGGAGCCCTCAGGGGCGGGAGATGACCTGGCGATCAAGGGAAGGTGACACCCCATCACACCTCTGCTGCTGCCACTGCTGGCAGTGCAAACCTCGGCCGGCCCTGGTTACCTCAGCCTCAGGCAGCCCTGGGTGGCTGGGCAGCCACCATCCCAGGATTGCCTGTGCCTCAGGCCAGTCCTGGGAGGCTGGGGACTGAGAGGACTGGGGGACTCTGGAAGCAGGCGCGCAGAGCTGCTGGGCCTGCCTGGGGCAGACCCGATCTTGCTACACGCCTGCTGCCCTGACAGGGCTGAGGGGACTTGGCGCTGCCACCTTGTAGCTGCGGGCCCTGCCATCTTTGAGGGTGGGGCAGTCAATTAGCATATCCCCTCCTTATTGGCTGTGGGTACTGCCATCTTTGTGATGGCTTGCTGCTCAATTAGCATATTCCCTCTTTATTAGATAGGCTATTTTACTACTGTTAAGTTTCTTTGTATGAAAAAGTATTGTTAGCACTCTAATAGTTCAAAGCTTTGTAATTATAACATAGCTTTATGTATATGCTAGAGGCCCAGCACACGATTGAAACCGGCGAAGAGGCACCTCGCCTCCCGCCATCCAAGGAGGCACTCCATGGGGGGCCGGATCCACACCTGACTCACAGCGTCCCCCGGCCCCCCTGCCTGTGTCTGTTCCGGGGCTGCCCAAGGAGCCGTGCTGGCTTAGGAAGGCTCTGTCTCTGTTTCCATCTCCGCTCCGGCCTCACCTGCACATGCAACCTCCTCCTGTCTGGTCATGACCCATTATGGTGTCCCAGCCTAATTTGTATATATATATATATATATATATATATATATATATATATATATATATATATATATTTATATATAAAGTTTAAAAAAATTGGCATGTATGGGAGGGGGGCAATGGTATATGTACAAAGATAATAATTTAATAAAAAAAATTTTTTTAAAAAAGTTAAAAAAATTGTATCATGGTGCAAATTATTTGAAGGTTTTTTTATTCAGCATTAGTCCCTTTTGTTTTGGAGTACATGTTTTTTTCAGACTTTCATTAATAAAATGTTTATTTTATCAGTATTAGAAAAAAGAATTATGAGGTAGTGAGGCAGAGTGTTAAACTAAGCCCTGGACTTTAATTAAACCTGTGGGATTTCCTATTTCCCTCATTACTTCTACATTTATTAATTGGAATTCTTCCGTAAGGAAGAGCTGTCCCTTCCCCCTGGTTTATTTATGAAGTCATTTATCCAGTAGGAATTTGTGGATATTTACTGACTCTTTGGGTCAATATTTTTTATTTTGCTGCTCACACTGTTTCAGCCGTGACCACCCTCACCACCGCCACTGTCTCGGGAACGTTCTTTGCTCAGCGGCTTAGCTCCTGTAACCCCGTCAACACCGAGCTCCAGGCCTGTGCAGACACAGGTGTGGTTCGCGCTCCGGATCCCGTGGCATCTAGAAATCAAAGAGCTCCCAGGACCCACCCCTTCCTGGTGACTAGCGCTCTTGTGGTATCTGTGACTTTAGCTCCTGTTCCCACGGGTGCCGTCCCTGTTCCTCTCATCCAGACGGTGAAGCTAGCCCTTCAGGTTCCTCTAAAGCGACCTGCTCACACAAGCTTGCAGGGGGCAGGGAGCAAACGTGGGGATGTGAGGGTGCAGAGGAGGGGCCCTGGAAGCTGGGGGCAGGGAGGCAGCCCATTGTATGAAAGAAAACTGGAGTTTCTTTCATACAAATCTTGTCAGTTATTAACATGTGTCCAGTCAGTACATAACATGTGTCTGAGGGCCCTGTTTCGGGGGCCACCAGGGTCCTTGTGGCTGCTTTCACAGTATCTCCTCCTGGTTCCCATCCTCCCTCTCAGGAGCCCACTCCTGACTCACGCAGGAGAACCCCGCCCTGCCTTTGGATCCCAGCTCACTCCAAGGCGCTTATTTGGGAGGCTACAAAGCATGGCTGGAGGATGAACTTTTTTTCTTTTTGCTTTGTAACTGTTGCTATTTGTTCTTCTGTGTTTCCCGGAAAATCTGTTTTCTAAGGCTCTCTGTGTGGGAACCAGGGCTTGTCCCCGGGAGGGAGCAGTGGAGGAAGACGCTGTGACCTGAGTGAGAAAGGATTGGGAAAGGGTCGTTCTTAAAAATTTTAATTTTAAAAAATTATTATTTTTTGTTTGGAAAAGGCAATATAAACATAAAGGGAAAAAAAACCCAACCTGTAAAAAGGAGAATATAGTGAAAAACAAGCCTCTCCCCCACCATCAGTCCCATAATTCACTTTCCTAAAAGCCACCGTCACCAGCTGCTTATCAAGTTTTTTGAAATATTTTAGGCACATGTGAGCATACACTATATGTAGTATGTGTATGTATATGTATTCTCTGCCTTTTCCAAACAATTGGTAGCATATTCCACATAAGCCTTTTCTTTTGTTTTTTTCTGTCCTTGACCATGAGAATGGAGACGGGGGCTGTGCCTTCAGCCTGGGTACCAGAACAAGAAGACCTTCGGAATAAAGGCACAGTTGATCCGCATCTTCTGAGTAACGTGGGTGAGAGACGAAACTTGCTTGTTGTAAGCCCTAAAATTCCAGGGATGTTTGTTACAGCAGCCTAACTAATAGAAGCTGACTTGCTCAGGCACAAAGTCCCAGGTGGCTCTGCGGCATCAGTGCCTATGAACCATGGCCTCTGGATCTACCACCAACTGATAAAAAAAAGTTCTGGTTGTTATTTCAGGATCAAGACATGTCACAGGCACTACGATATCCCATACTTGCTAGTGGCAGTGCCAATTGCTTTGAATATTTGGGAAGCCATTTGGCAATGGATAACAAGAGAACTGATAATTTTTACCTCTGAAATTCTAGCCCAAGAAAATAATCAGAGATATACAGGAAGTAATTGTGGAGTTCTTTTTTTATTTATTTTATTGATTTTTTTTACAGAGAGGAAGAGAGAGAGATAGAGAGTTAGAAACATCGATGAGAGAGTCATCAACCAGCTGCCTCTTGCACACCTCCTACTGGGGATGTGCCCGCAACCAATGTACACGCCCTTGATCGGAATCGAACCCGGGACCTTTCAGTCCGCAGGCCGACGCTCTTTCCACTGAGCCAAACCGGTTTCAGCTATTGTGGCGTTCTTTGAAAAACTGGAAGCAATGTAAATGCCCCATCAGTGTGTGCACATTATTCTAGATGATGGATACCTATGCAGTGGCTGAATGTTTAACGTGATGGGGAAAATGTTTTAGTAGTGCCTGAGATAAACAGGATTCGGAACTCTATCTGTATGACAATCCTAATTTAGATAACAAGAGCGGCATGTGCTGTTGAAACTTGTATTTTTCACTCACATTATGTGACTAAGCATTTCCTCCCACTGCCAAACCTGTAAATATGTATAAAAGAGTGAGAAGAAAGAAGCAAAAATAGTGGTTATCTCTGGGCAGCACTTTTTTCCTATATTTCCACACGTTCTATGATGAACATGTACTACTTTTATAATCAGAAGTAAATAACCGCTACTTCAAAATAGGAATTAGTATTTCGGTCACTTCTAGGGCTGTGCCTTTGCGCTGCGGCTGCCCGGGGACTTAATTGGGCTCCTCGTCTAAGAATAAGCCCCGTGTTTAATTAGGTCACTCCCTGCCGACCTAGAATCTCGCACAG